ATTCCAGTCAAAACCCAAAACCAATTTAACCCAAGAGATTCTGATTCAAGTCTCACAGGGAAATGAATGCCTCTGGAAGGTAAATTACTCTAGTTGTTCAGTTATAAGGATCACAACATGGGGCTAAATGGACCTGAAGCAAGTCGCCAATCACACAGGCATTGTAATGTAACATAGCCAAACTAATCAATTATCAATTATCAAACCAACAGATTCCACTCAAGAAGGGGACATTGTGAACCTTGAAAGGTAGAATCCTTTAAGATGGTTTTTATCTATCTAGCTGGGTCTAAATTCAAAATGGAGTTTGGAAGCTGTTTGATGACTAAGGTCTCTCACAGACTCTGTAGTCTTAGAAAAGTCATAGAATGAATCTTTTCACTTCCGCTCTTGAATACACTGGAATTTCAACTTACATCAACCAATCAGGACTTTAGATGACTGAATACTTCATTTGTATAGAGGATTTAAATAAGGACCTGGGAAGGAACTTTTTTACTATTAAGTTTAATCCCTTCCTTTGTCCTTCAGAAGCATGTGTTTAGTTTATGCCAGAGGGTATGTCTATTTTGCAAACTGTTACAGAAATAAAGTTCCTCTTACTTATTTTTTCCACTGAATTCTGGTGACATCTCTCACTACAAATAAAGCATCTTGAGGAAAAGGATTATGTTTTATGCATCTCACACTTTTCCTAGTATGAAGTATAGGTGATAGAAAGTGATTAACAAGTGACAGAATTATTTCAATTTCCTCTCCCCTAAACTATTTTAGCTATACTTTATATCATTTTTTCTAAACTTTAGATCACATTATTTTCTTAGAAAGCAAAACTACACTTAAATATGTTAATCCTATAAAATACTTAGATAGAAAAATAAAAATCACTCATTATTTTAAAATAATTATTCAACAATTAATCTATTTCTTTCTAATCATTTCCCATAACATAGACTTTTCTTAAAATACTAGCAGTCATACAAAAATGTTGACTCTTGAAATCCTGTTTTCTTTACTTAACACTATAACAGTCTTAGTTATCTTTCTTGCCAAATCATGAAGTTGTTGAGGCATCAGACCTTATTCTTTTCTCTTATTCCATTTCTAATACAGAATAGATATTATTTGAGCACTGTGGAAAGTGATGTCATGAGGAAAAAAATAAACATTTTTTTGTAGCTAAGCAAAGCCTAATTTTAGAATGCTCCAAGTTTTATTTTCTCTTTTCATACTACTTTTAACTCAAATGCCTCATTTCACATGCATATACTATGCTAAATTTTCAGCATACATTTCTGCACTGATTTTGGTTTGTGTGTAAGTTTCTTATAAATAGGTATTTGTTTCACATCGATTGGTTTATGAAGGCAAGTGCATAGCCATTATAAAACAATTTTTAAATGCCTAGACAGGATGATATAGAACTGTGGAGTACAAGTGTAAGAAAAGTCTGTCTCAGGGCCAGCAGTTGACCTACTGGCTATGTCGCTGGACTCCCATGTAGTCAACCGCGGTTTGAGTCCTGGACCCAGTGGCTTAAACTCATGCCGGGTGCATGTGCGCGCATGCCCAAGATCCCGAGAGGAGAATGGAAGAGGAGTGATTGCGGCGTGGCTCTCCCC